TTTACTTATTGTTCATTTATTCATGACACCTTTCAATCACTTATTACCATTACTTACAACCATCATGACGTATACATTCTAAATTTATATAACAACCATAACCTAAACTATACACAATATATTCTCACAACATCCTTCATTCACCCAGTACCATACTTTCAATCATCATTCTAAATTTATATAACAACTATAACCTAAACTATACACAATACATTCTCACAACACCCATCATTCACCCATTACCATACTTTCAATCATCATTCTAAATTTATATAACAACCATAACCTAAACTATACACAATATATTCTCACAACACCCTTCATTCACTCATTACCATACTTTCAATCATCATTCTAAATTTATATAACAACCATAACCTAAACTATACACAATATATTCTCACAACACCCTTCATTCACCCAGTACCATACTTTCAATCATCATTCTAAATTTATATAACAACCATAACCTAAACTATACACAATATATTCTCACAACACCCTTCATTCACCCATTACCATACTTTCAATCATCATTCTAAATTTATATGACAAACATAACCTAAACTATACACAATATATTCTCACAACAATGCTAAATTTATAGCCATTTTTGTACAAAATGTAAAAGGAAGATCGTTTGATAGACATTCTATAGGCAAATAACAGCTTGTGTATCAAGGTTCCAAGTTCAATACAAAGATTAAGTCTTCCAACTGATCTTTATGACATTAATCGCTGTTACAGGCTCTGTTAGTGATCTGTGTGATTTAACATCATCTTCAGAATCAATGTAGAGCCTGATAGACATTGAAAAATATAAAGAGTGTAATAAATAGACTAAAATATACAGGTACTAGATGATCCAACCTCTGTATGAACTTGGCCTATTCCAGATTTGATATACAGTTTATAGCCATTGATCTGATTGATTTAAAATTATCACTAGAAACAATGCAGAGCCCGAAAGACATCGAGAATATGATGGGTGAAATTACTCGTTGCTTGTGTAGAATGAGTATTGCCGTTCTTCTCTGGGTGCCTCACCCATACTGTCCAGGCTTACAAGCCTCCGTTGCCTCACAGACCTTGCATGGTTGTCCTTTTCTCTCATTCTATCTCGTATGCTGCGCAATCGCAATTGTCTGGAGGCAACGGCATCTTCCATCTTTTTAGTTTGGATATCTTCCAGTGCTTTCCTTTCGGCTATGTAAGCCTGGACAGTTTCAGGAGATTCTGTCTTCATCATTTTCCTGACCTTAACAATTCTTTCGTCCTCCAATTGCTACAAAAGACCAATTTTAGCTGTTTAGAATAATATATTGAAGCTTTGGGCCGCGAATTGTGAAAATTAACCGGCTGCAGAATAACAAGAGTTCTTGCTTAAACGTTATATATATCGTATAAAGTTGAATAAGAGTTAGATGATGGGCTTACATTATAATATATTCGCCACGATGATGTTGATGATGATGACTTACTTTGCGGCGTCTCTCAGCCTGTAACAGTCTCTCTCTAATATCCTCTACTGATGCTTCTTCTCTTTCGGTGTTCTTCTTTTTCATCTCAAGTAGACGAGTGGGAGGGGCAACAACAACTGCACTATTT